CCGAGCAGGTCGGCCGAGCTCTTCTCCTTACTTTCCAAACTTAGCCCGAATTTTCAACACCTCACCAAATTTTCAATCAAATCTCGACCTCTGAAACCTGTTTTCACCCTCGAAAATCATGCGTGTCGTGCAGCTCGTGGAGCTATTTATTCTCAATAAAAACAAAAAACGAGAAAAAAGCAATAACCGTGGGTTGCCTCCCACGAAGCGCTCAATTTATTGTCTTGAGCTCGACTACCCCAACAAAAATCAACCGGGATCTAAGAAGAAGTGTCGATCATGCCACGCCTTCATATTCTCCAAGAGTAAATGAGTCGGTAGCACCGAACAAAGGCGGGCCAAATAAACTCTCGTGGCCGAATTCTTGTGAAACCGAGCACGGATATCAACAACCACCAATAGGAAAGATGAATCTTTACGAATCGAGGCCCCACACTCGACCTCCAAAAATATAAAAATATCCATGGAGCACGTCGAATCAATCTCGAGCATCGTTTGCACTATCTCGAACGTGTACTCATCAAGCTCAAGCATCGGGAGCACGGGCGTAGGCACACTAAACTCCTGCAAATGGTCACGATCCTCAATAATACGAAACGACAACCCAAAGGACATAGGAACCACGTCATACTCAACATTACAAGTCGACTCATCAATCAACGCACACCTCGGGTCAATGACATCACATAATAGCTCGGAATCCTCCTCAACAACGTCCACAAAATCATCAACTACCACATTCTCCTCCTCAATATCATTCTCCCGAGCATTATCAACATCGTTCGGCACAATCGAATCCTCAAATGAATTCTCTCCCATCCCATACACCATATCAACACCCGAATCCATACACTCACTCTCAACAATAGAATCAAAGCTCAAAACACTATCACCGGAAGAGAAATTTGACATACCTAATGTAGAATGCACGGCTGAATCGTTAGAGAAATTTATTTAACAATCAAATTGTTGATGTCCTCACTCGTGTCGAGAGATTGTGTTCCATCATAAACGATAGTGAGGCCCACCTCTTTCAAGGAGGAAAACCTATCCACCATAGCTCGAAACTCGCCTTCTAACCGAGTGCACTCTCGAATAACCCTCGTCGATAATAATACATATCTTGTCCAGCTGTTACAATATCTACCGAGCGGAATGTGAGATGCGTCCAAATCAAGGAAATAGACCACGATAGAGTCGAACTTCGTGAGTGTGAGTTGAAGAACGAATGGAATGGGAATGCACTTCCAACTATGAAACTCCTCAATGATCGACATGAGGCTCGCAAGTGCCTCTTGAGTGCTCGTCAAAACCTCTTGGTGACGTTCGGAAGACGCAACCGTGGTTGAAATTGAAGCTCCGGAACTTGAGGTACAAGATTGGCCAACCGATAGGTGCTCCAATGATAGAGAGGATGTAACAAGAGACTCGGTTTCTTCCTTTTCGGATGTGGGAGCCATTAAAGAATGAAGGGATCGATTGCACTCCTCTAATTTCTTCATAATCTCATTTAGATTGACCCGAGAAGCTTCTCGAGTCGGCTCGGGTGGAGGTGTCTCTTCATAATAAATGGGAGGTGGTGGATAGTAGTGAGGTGTCTCGTCGTGACCCGGAGAGTAATAACCAAAATCAACTTGATATGGCGGGTAAGAAGGGCTCGAATAAGGATAGGGCGGCCCTCTATACGAGTATATCTCCTCATGGTAGTTGTCGGGGTCTCCACGTGATGAGCTACCGGCATAAGAATAACCGTACGGATCCATCGGAGCTCCTCAAGCGAAGTACCTCGCACAAGAAAAATAAAACAACCAAGGCACACGAGGCAAAAGAAAGAAAGCACAAAACAAAACTAAAACGACACGAGATATACACGGACACATATACCAAAAAGCAAGAGAAATGGAAAATAAGC